GAAGGCCAACAGGCCAGAACTGGTTGGGGTCTCCTGTGGGTAACTGTGCTGATTTTGTCATCTTGACACAAGCTGAGTCACCTAAGAGGAACCTTTAACTGAAGAACTGCCTCCATCAGATTGTCCCGTGAGCATGTCTGTGGGGCACTACCATCCCTAGGCAGGTGGACCTGGGTCATATAAAAAAAGTAGGCTTTGGGAACCATGAAGAGTAAGCTAGGAAGCACATCTGAAAACCCACAGAGAATAGGAGATGGAGCTGCCCCCTCCCCACCCCAAAAGGGGCCTGAAGATCTGGGCTCCATCTCCCTGAAGGCAGCACTGTGCCCTGACTGTCTGTCCCCTTCTATCTTTACCATTTTTGTGTGTCAAAGAAGATGCTAGATGAATCTGTTAGGTTGGAGACTCCAGCTCGCCCCAGGACGATCTGGAAAGCCCCACCCCTGCTTCCAAACCCCACCTGCTCAGAGTGTCTCCAAACAAAGGAAAGGCACCAAAAAGCCCAGTTCCACATTCTTGGCAGCTACATGGCTTCCTCCCCTGAAGTTGCCGGCTTAAGCACTCAGCTTTGACCATACTTGGGCACAAACCCAGCTTGTGGTGGACACATTATCACCCCTGGCCTACAACCTATAAAATCTCCCTGCTTTAGTTGGAGGGGAAGGGGTGCAACTTCTTTAGCCTTGATCTTTGGGTCCGGAGAATCCACCCAAGAGTTTCTCTCAAGAAACCTGTTGTTACACTTCTTCAATTTGGCTTATCTGGCTTACTGTATCAGCAAAGAAAGTTATGGGGGCGGGAGGGGGGGGGCCAGAAAAACCTATTAGAATCCAAATCTAGCTTCTCCCCCCCTCCTTTGGTCATTGTTTAATATACTCACCAGGCCACCTCCCCCTAAAATTAGTTTTCCTAGCATAGAAAAGAAAGAGAATAGTCAAATATGAGAAAGCAAAACAAAGCCAGAATAATAAAATAAAATAAAGCCAGGTAACTTAACACAAGCCGAAGGGCCTGTTTGTTTTAGAGTTAAGGTCTTCAGTCCCAGAGTCTCTTGCAGGCTAAGATTCAACCAATTCTAATTTCAGTAACCACAAGAGAACCAAAAATCAATCACAAATGTCTCCTTTTCTAAAGAAACTAGCCTATCAGAAATCCCTGCAGATTGCACCTGCTCTGTGTCCCCAGAATGCACAGGCAGGTTTGGCGGGGCTCCTGCCTGTCTAATCTCACTTCTTTCATCTACTTCTTGGAAACTTCGGAAACAGGGCTTCTCAAATGTGGTCAGCCGCCATCCACAGAGATGCCCTCTCCTGGTCCCATGGGTTTGTAGAAAGCTTCTCACCACTGCCTCCAGGGGGCGCCATTGAGGCACCACCTGCAGGTCTCACCTGCCTCTTGAGATTGCAAAAACTTCCTATGGTCTGTTAGTTCCCCAAGGCCCTGAGGCCAAACCCAGGTTCTGTCTGGAAAGAGAAGCCCCCTTCTTTCCTGAGTCACCAAATGCCACTAAAGTAGGGCTTCCTGAGCCCTGGGAACTCTTGAGACTTTTGTGACAGCAATGGCTGTCAGTGGGAGCTGCATTCCCTCTTCCACTGGGGCTCAGGTGAGTGCCTGATGCTGCCCTCAGAGACTTGGTGCTTTGTTTTTCAAACCTCCCCTCCTGTGACCCTCACCTTCTAGGTGGCATGATGATGGGGTAGCTTCCCACAACACAAATGTAAAAAAAAAAAAATGTGACTTGGAGTAAGCATTGCAGGGCAGCAAATGTGAGAGAATCTATATGAAGAGAATTGCTAACGACGTCCTAAGGTGATCAATGATCACGTGAATCCCCAGGCCACATGTTCAGTGCCTTTGGAAAATAAATGAGTGAAAAGGATTCTGCTCCCCACTGACCTGAGGCTCCTGTCTTAACTAAGTGCCTGTTAAAATGAAGGCACCATTAGCACTGAGAGAGGGAACATGGCCGCTCACTGAGAACTGGGCAGTCTAACACCCTCTGCTTCCTCCTCCACACAGACAAGAACAGGGACTTGGTGGGAGGTGGGGCAGAGGCCAAGCAGGAACTCTACACTGGCTGAGAAATAGTGACTGGGGGCTGGGGGTGGGAGGAGGGGGGGAGGGGTGGGGAGGTGGGGGGTGGTTAGTGCGAAGGACACACTAGTGGTCCTGCAGATGTTGGGAGTGGCAAGAGAGCCAGCAGAGAGGACAAAGCCAAATCGCCACTCCTTCCCAGTCGCAGGCCCAGCTCTCCTTCAAATCCTGCCCTACCCTACCCTGTAGGCTGCATGGACCCCTTGGAGCAGACTGAGACAGGGCATAAGAATGGTATTTGCTCCAAACTGGAGGTAAGGGGCATCCAAAGCAAGGAAGAGATCAAACGGAGGTAGAAACGACATTTTATGTAATTCATTTTAACTTTGGGAACTGCCTATCCCAGCAGCTGGGGAACCCAACCCAATCTGAAACACTGGGGGAGAAGTCATTCATGTCCGAGGGACTGAGTCTAAAGCCAGGCTGGGTGTGTGAAGCTCTGCAGGGCTGTGTGTGGGCTGCTGCGTGTGTATGTATATGATGAGTGCATAGTTGAAGGGCTTGAAGATGGTGCAGGTGGACAGGGCTTTGCGGGCCCAGGAGTCACATGAGCAGGGCTGGATGGCAGACAGCTGACTCCCAAGAGGCCTGGGAAGGAGACTGCCAAATCTTCAGCACCCACACAGTAGAAGCGGAAGGGAAACCCGGGAGTCGTCTGGGATAGCAGACTTTGACAGCACCCTGGAGCACCGAGGACACCTGCCATAACCCATTTCCACTCCAACCACCACTGCAGCCATTGCTTCAAAAACTCTGGCTCCTGGGCCAGGGAAATGACTCCGCAGGTAAAGGCACTTGTCACCAAGCCCGATGACCCAAGTTTGATCCTTGAAATCCATATGGTGGAGGGAGAGAACAGACTCTTGTGGATGTGTGAATGTTTCTGTCTCTCAATGCCTTACACCCCCACCCCCAATCCCAATAAAGGTAAATTGTGTTTAGACTTGCTCCTGACCGCAGAGTCAGTACATACCAGCTCCCTCTCTGCAGCCTCTAACAGAGCTAGCCCCACTGGGGCAGGACCCTCATCTGCTTCCCTTTCTTTGCTTTGGAAAGGGGTCAAAAAAGGCAGTCGTGACTGTGAGTTCAGTGCTGGACTAGATCTCAGGGAAAATGCTTCAGGCTTCAAAGCAGCCCTACACATATTTCCCTTCCCTTCCCTTTGGGTCTGTGCTGAGTCTGTGGAAAGGGGTGGTGGTTTAGAACCCACAATCCTACCTTCAGCAGCCAAATACAAAAGTCCTCCTGGGGCAACAAGCACCGTTGTGGTTTTCTAGTCAGGGCTGAGGAACCACCCACCACCGTGCAGAGTGAATCTGCTGCCCGAGAAGAGGACGGTAAAACCCAGACACCAGTTTACTCAAGCAGAAAAGTCATCTGGAGGATGCCTGGGGATATAGGAGAGGTGATGGGTCAGGTCCAGAACAGACATTATCTGAGTGGTTTACCAAAGACAGAGGATGGGGCCACTTGGGCCCAGGGTTCTCCTGGCCCCTGCTACCCTTGCTTTCGTGGCTGAACCGAGAAGACTTGTGAAGAGGGACAAAGGAGAATAAAAGAAACAAAGGCAGCAGAAGCCAGTACTGAAAATGAGACACTAGCACAGTCCCAACAGCAAAGGGAACAATGGCACCAGACGAAGACTGGGCAGCCATGTCACTTCCATGGGGAGCTCAGTCCTCCAAGTGAGGCTTCCAGCAAGCTCAAGACTATGCTAAAAAGCAGGGGTCAGCAGCAAGGGAGGCAGTGTCCAGAAGATGACAAGGGTGAGGTGGGGGTGGCCCACACTGCCTTTGAGGGGTGCTTCCCTTCACATTTTGGTGCTTCTTGAGTTCTGTCTTAAGCACAATGCTTCTTTGACATTGAACATAACCCCTTCCTGGTGAGCTTGCCTACTGTGCCCCCAAACACAACCCTCTCGGCCTAACCTCTCCCCCAACTTCAGACTCAAACATACAAATGAACTGTTACTCAAAGGTCCATTAGGGATCCCAAGTTTAAAATGTCACAAACTAAGCTTATATTTTCTGCTCACCTGTGTCTGTCTATATCTCTTCCCCTTGCGCCAATTTGGATTGATGCACGCACGCTCCATCCAGTCACCAAAGACACTTCGCTTTCTGCCGCTGTCCTTGAGTCTGCCTCTGAAACCCTGGGAAGGTGTCTCTTCACCTTCACAGGGTCACTGCAGCAGTTCCAACCCCTTACTTCTTGAACTGGCACACTGCCATACAACCCAACCAGCGACCTGACAGAAACACATGCAAACTCCCGTCGGTTGTTGGGTTTTGACAATGCACATATGAACACATCACTCTGAATCTGCCATCTAAGCTTCACGTTTATGTGACTGTGGTGGTTTGAATGACAAATGTTCCCATAGGCTCAGGTGTTTGACTACTCGGCCCTCAGATGGAGGTGCTATTGGGGAGGTTATGGAACTTTCAGGAGACAGAGCCTTGCTGGAGGAAGTATGTCACTGGGGGTGGACTTTGATCACTTTATAGCCTCACTCAATTAAAGTTTGTTCTCTCTGCTCTGTGTTTGAGGTTGAATGCTATAAGCAAAGCTTAGTGGGCCATTATAATAAGAGCTGGACAATAGTAGTGCTGGAAATAATGCAGACTGTGGGGAACCAGCTCAAGAGGGTTCAGAAGAAAATAAGGTCTCTATTAGCAACTGGGCTATGAGATCATTTGTAGGGTATTTTGGCAAAGAATCTGGCTTCCTTCTGCCCATGCTCTCAGAACTTGCCTGAGGCTAAATTTAAAAGTAACGAGCTGATTTCTTTAGGAGTGTTTCAAGATAGGATAGCATTGTGCCAGGCATAGTTAATGCCAGTAACTCTTATGCAGATCTACAACGGAAACGAGCAAGTGAGACAGAAAGAAACACAAAATGTGCAGTTTGGAGAGAAAAAAGCACTAGGCAATTTAATGTTATAGCTAAGGCAATTTAATGTTATAGCTAATGTTATAGCTAAGCCCCTAAAGAGGGGCTGGAATTGATAAAGAAATTAGCACCATGAAGGGCCCACCCAGCTAAGCTTCCAACTTGTGAAAGGAAAACGCCTGAGGGGTGGCTACACCTAGCATGGCCTTGCACCAGCACTTGTACACTCCTGGATGCCACCACCCCACCATCCCCAATCTCTCACCCTATGCTACAAACTTTCCGGGCCTCTACCTCCACCCAGAGCCCATGCTATTGCATACCCTGGTAACTTTCTCTAGGATATTCTCTCCTTCGGGACTCTTCCTATCAAACCCAAACTATCTATATATCTTTTTATTGCAGTTATTGACATTTGCTGGTTTTTAGCCAGGGCTCACCCCATGACCTCTGCTCCTCAGAGATAAGCCAGGAAAGGTAAGCTGAAAACCTCAGGTGGACTGGTTCCTAGGACGGGGGTTCTGGAACAAAGAAAAAGGCTAGGGAGTGACCTCCTTAGTGGGAATGGCAAGACCTTCCATCCACTTTTTCACATGCAAATAAAAAGCTCCATTCTTCAAAATCCTTCACAGCTATTATCCAATCAACACTTCCCACGGCCATAAAATAACTAGGATATGAATGGGATATGAAAGTCATCTTCCTTTAAAAATCCACGAAAGACAAAGTCCTTGGTCAACACTTTCAAACCCTTCTAAGGAAAAATTCTGGAGACCAAAGTGCTACAAACAAGAAAACCATTGTGCATGAGCCTCTCTGACTTGTCCTGTCTGGGTGAGAGGTTGGTCTGAGTGACCACGCTTGGCAGCTTGGGACAAGAGGGCTCAAGCGGAAATGGTGCCATGAACCTAGAATACGGAACCACTTCCAAGCCCTCTCTGTAGAGGACAACGCGTCAGTGCCTTCCACCTCAATCTTGGCATCAGGGTTTGAAATGAAGAAAATGAGCCAGAGACCAAAGGGCAGGAGTGACTGAGCACTGGAGGGAAGGCCGGCTCGGTAAGGCTTATTAACCTGTGATGGGCCACGGGTAATGAGAAGCAAGACTGACCTGAAAAAAGAACTCTCAGACCCACTTCTTCGCCAAAACACTCTCCCACTCAAGACACAAGTCTCAGCCTACCTCCCTCTCTCACCCACATGATCTAAAGACGGGGACTCCCACCCATCATTTGGAAACAACTCAGCCTTTACACAAAGCACTTCACCAATTCTGAACCTCCCAAATGCTTTCAACTGCAGGAACTCTCAGCCTCTGTATTCGTTAGTGATTACACTTTGCGATTCTATTACTAGTTACATATCTCCACGTAAGAGGGCTCAGGAAAGCACACAGCCTCTCAGACTCTGGGGACGCGTGAGTCTTGATGAATTCTGCCTCTCCCATTTTCAGACCAATGCAGGTCACCCAACTTTCCCAGTCCTCTGGGAAATAGGACTCCTTTGAGGGCTAAATGAGACGATATGTAGGTGGCTTGGCACACGAGCTGCTCAGGAGCAAATGTGCAATGCCCAGCTATTTCTGCTGTTGTTAATGATTCTGCAATGACGTCACCGCTGCCCCATTTGCTGCCGACCTTGCAGTGGAGTACCCTAGGGACTGCTTCTCGGGGGATACCTCCTCTCACCGTGAAGTTTCAAGTTTCGCAGTGAGGATTGATCCCAACTGCAAACCACCAAGAACAAGAACCACTCTCCCTGTGTAGAGCAGTAAGCAGCTGTAAAAAGCAGAGCGAGACCTGGAATCAATACGTCGGGCCAGATTCAACTCTAATCTCGCATCAGCCATCTGCCTCACACACTCTGCTCTCGAGACAGCAGGTGTAAGGAGAGCCTAACCTAATGATTCTGTAGGGGTATTTATGGGGGGGGGGGGAACAAATTACACTTGAGAAGTGCCTCCAAATCTTAATCCTTGTAGGTGTAATTCACATCCAAATTACCCGAATTTACAAGATGCCATCTCTAAGTATACACCAAGCTTAGACGTTGGAAGGTTTCTTTCTAGCATGTTTTAGAAACGATAATGATATATAAATACACATTATTGCTCTTCTGTTGGGAGGAGGCGCTGCCTACAAGGCTTTCCTTCCCGCGTGGGTTTTGCGGTGGGCACTGAAGTGGGAGCTGTTGTTGAAGTCTTTGCCGCATTCCATGCACTTGTACGGCTTCTCCCCGGTGTGGGTTCTCTGGTGGATGATGAGACTGGAGCTCTGGTTAAAGCACTTGCCACACTCTCTACACTTGTACGGCTTCTCTCCCGTGTGGATTCTCTGGTGAGTGATGAGGTTGGAGCGGTCCCGGAAGAACTTGCCACACTCCAGGCATCTGTAGGGCTTCTCTCCCGTGTGGATTCTCTGGTGGGTGGTGAGCTTGGAGCGCTCGCTGAAGCCCTTTCCACAGTCTGCACACTTATACGGCTTCTCGCCGGTGTGCGTCCGCTGGTGGTTGGCCAGGGTGGAGCCCTTGCTGAAGCTCTTCCCACACTGGGCACATTCGTATGGCTTCTCACCTGTGTGGATTCTTTGGTGACTGATGAGGGCAGAGCTCTTAGAGAAACACCTTCCACATTCAAGACACGGATACAGCTTCTCCCCTGAGCTGGAGTGACGGGGTCCGGGGGAGTCCGTGCTCATGGTTACATTCTGAGGTTGTGTAGATATCTCCCACGTAGAATTTCTCCAGCAAGCACTAAAAGATGGACTTTGGCCAAAGTTCTCCCCAGGCTCATTACACTGGTCAGGAGTTCCTCCCGAGTGGACCCTCTGATGTTTCAGTAGATTTGAGCTCTGCTTGAAGCTCTTCCAACACTTCCCACATGTATAGGGCTTCTCCCCTGTGTGGATTTGTTGGTGGGCCTCGAAGTGGAAGTTCCTACTGAAGCTTCTCACATATGTGTCACATTTGTAGGGTTTCTTTGTGAGGTACAGGCCTTGATGGTCAATGAGTTTTTCTAAGTCCTCCTCAGAGGAGCACTCTTCCCACGGGAGGGCACTCCTCCACGCCCCTTCCTCTTCGATCTCATTCTCCTCCCCCCAGTCATGAGACCGACAAACAGCGTCTGTGGTATAGTTTGATAATGCTCCAGGCAAATCCCCAAAAACATCCCGCTCTGATATCTGGTCTTCATCCTCATGCTTCAACTCCAAACCTGAAAGAATAGACAGAAATGGGAGGTTTCTGCCCATTCATTGGTTAGCAATAATGTACCTGTATCATGTATTTTGTAAATTTGGCTAGCACAGATTTGTAACTTCTGTCCCACAGTTTATAAATGTGAGTATCAGGAAAGTTACCAAGTTTTTGTGTGCTTCTAACCCTGAAAAGCTGAGGAGCAGTCTGGAATACAGTAATCCCACCCCAGCAGCCAGGCCCACCTCCCAGCCATTCCTCTGAAGTCTGTATTCAATGATAAACAGCTCATATCATCCTCCAGTACACTGACGAGATCATGTGTCATATCAGGCTGAACCAGTTCCATAATTACCCAGGTGTGTCCAGGTAAAAGCCAGACTGGCCACCTCGCGTGCAGGACAGCACTAAGGAAGAGATTATAGGATCTATCTCTTCCTACTTGATCTCCTTCGTTCTTCTGGCTCAGAGACAAAGATAAGACACCTGGTTCCTGAAGGACTCTAGTAGCCCGAGCATGGTGAGCATGGCTCTGGCAGGCCTTGCCCTTCCCCTATTCCCTCTAAACCGTTAGATTACATTCCTAAAGCTAGCCACCAACGTCTATTCCCTTACTGGCCACTTCCTCCTGTGGATGACCATCAATGTCCAGCTATCAAAGTATTAAATCCAGCAATCAGAAGCCCCCTTTCGGCTCACCTAATTAACATGCCCAATTAAAATAAACCAACTCATCCTAACATGGGGTTTTCCCTTTTTCCCTTTATAAACTGCCCTTTGCCTGTGGGCCACTTCTGTCTCCTCTCTATCCAGAGACCGACCCCCGGCCTTGTTCCCTCCCCTTCTCCCTCATTTCTATCTCCTGTCTCTGTCACTGATTCCCTGCCCTTTGTCCTCTGTGCTGAGAACTTGGTCTTGGGGTGTACTGTACTGACTCTAGCTCTTTCAGAGCCCCTCTGTGTACAGGCTGCAGATTCTGCCGACACGCAGTGACTCCGGGCTCACCTGTATCTGGAGTTTGGGGATCTGGAGTCAGAAGTTTAATGGTATCTTCATCTTCCATCTCACCCCAGACCTCTTGGTCATCAGCCTCAGCACCGCTCTGCCCAGATGCTGGAAGACCTCTGGCTTCTCCTACCATCTCCATGGCCCTGATCACAGTCCGAGCCCTCATCAGCGAGTCCAGTTCCTCATAGAAGGGACAGATTCCCGGGGAATGGCTGCTCTTGGCTTTCCGGTAGCTTCGAAGAAGGTTTTTGAATCTGTAGCGACACTGCTCCAGCGTCCGCAGGAAACCCAGTGCCTGCAGCCGCTCTGCGATGGCCCGGTACACCTGGCGGTTCTGGTGGCAGGTCCGGAGCTTTTCAGAGAATGGGGACTCACTGAGAATTGCCAGGAAGGTCTTGGTCTCCTCAAAGCCCCAGTGCACACCTGCTGTCAGAGTGAAGAGTTCAGAGGTATGAGACTTAAGGAGCTCTATCTGGTCGTTAGGACTAGGGTCACCTGACTTCTAAATAGCTAGAACACAGGTCTCAGAAACTGTCCAAGACCTGGAAACACAAACTTGCTTCTCAGGGATATGCTAGGAAGGTCAGCCAAGGCATCCTCTCTCACCCTTTCAAGGGAGAAATAAGTGGCCATGTTTCAGCAATCGCATTGCTTCAGCCGATGGATGAGTCACTGAGATTCATGAGATTCTCCCTGTATTCATTCAAAATGCATCCCATTGCCTTTGTGAATTCTCCTTTCAACAATGCATGGACTCTGAGAATCCCCAAGGACCAGAGACACAAATGGACCTTGAATAACCAGGTGACAGACTATAGCTGAGGACACTCTTTCCTCTCTGGTCAAAGAGTGAAGGGGCGTAATCCAGGCTCCACTCCAGGACAGGTAAGTGATGTAACCCAAGGAGGCAGCATGGGAGCTGGGGGGACCCTATGAACATGAGGCAGGGGCCCAGGCTCTGTTCCTACCTTGGGGCTCCAGATGCTTCAGTTCACGGATGTCAGTGACTCTCCCTTTGCAAGATTAGGTGCTTGCCACACAATGACTCCCAAGTCTACCCTGTGAGCGTCTCCTCTACCTTTTACTAGTTTACTCTTTCTTAACCCAAACTTGCTATCTGTGAATTATCAGCTGTTGTCACACACACTAAGAGAAACACACCTATGGAAAAGACGGCTCAGGTGCCACCTAGGAGAGTCACCAGTGACACACTGTGGGAAGCAACTGGGATCTCTCCAGGTCTAGCAAGGCTTTAGAATTATTTCTCCTATAACCAGGAGATGTGGCCACTAGAGAAGAGAGTGTGGCCCTAAGGTTGGTCCAGGGACTGGGCACCTCACTCTGGTGTCCCTGACTTAGAGTCTGAGCTCTAACCTCGGAAGCAGTAGCCTGGCTGATATTCATCCAGTTAAAGGCCACGTTCTTACCAATGCGGTTCTGGAGCAGAGCTGGGCCGCCTGTAATCCTGGGACCCCGAATAGACTCCTCGGTGGCCAGGCCAGAACCCCCGCAGTCTTCTGGTGCCTCCTTGGGCTCCCAGCTCGCTTCCTCTTGGTCATCCATCTCAGCATCACTGTCGCCCAGCCTGGGGAGTGCCACAGCCTCTCCTGGCCCATTTGTGGTTCTTCTGATGGCTGTCCGAGCCCTAACCAGAGCCTCCAGCTCCTCGTAGAAGGGGCAGGTTCCTGGTGGGTGGCTGTTCTTGGCTTTCCGGTAATTCCGTAGAAGGTTTTTGACCCTGTAGCGACACTGCTCCAGCGTCCGCAAGAAGCCCCGTGCCCGCAGCCGCTCTGCGATGGCCCCGTACACCTGGCGGTTCTGGTGGCAGGTCCGGAGCTTTTCAGAGAATGGGGACTCACTTAAGATTGCCAGGAAGGTCTTGGTCTCCTCATAGCTCCAGTGCACACCCGACACCTTCACATCCTCCCCATCACATTGGCATTGCCCTTCCTGGGCCCCGGAGTCCTCCTGGGCTGGTGTCTGGGCTGGCTGGTTTGGCTCACTGTCCAGGCTAGAATCTGCCGTGTTCCCATTCCCAGAATTTATAAGGCTCAGACCCAAAATCCCTGGTCCTTGCTCATGCTGGGACGTGACACCTGGCTTAGAAACTGGAACTCCTACACGAAAGGAAGAACAGACGTGACTGAGCAGAAACGACCTGTGGGACTGTGTTTCTCTAAACTGTCCCCGACACTCTCACCCTTCTCCTGAAAGGCCAATGAGAAATCCCATGCTCATCTACCTGGAGAGAGGTGCCTACCAGCACCTCACCGAAAATGAAAGGGACCTGCAGGCTCCTCATTTGCTGTGCCGTTGTTATGAAATACACCGTACAGCAGGGTGGCTAGTATGGATCCACAAATGACGAACAGGACCTCAAGCAACCCAATGAGACTCAACTCCACTGTTGGAGGGAAGGAGCATGTGTGGGTGTGTGTGTAGGGGTGTGTGTGTAGGGGTGTGTCTGTGTGTGTGTGTGTGTGTGTGTGTGTGTGTGTGTGTCCGTGTGTGTGTGTGTGTGTCCGTGTGTGTGTGTGTGTGTGTGTGTGTGTGTGTGTGTGTGTGTGTGTGTGTATGTCCGTGTGGGTTTCTCTCTTGCTGGGAAACTTCTGACCTCCTTTGCCACTGTTATTTAAAAGACAAAACAACACTAAACATGAAGCAAATCTTGATGGGGGGGAAGTGGGGAGAGAGAGAGAAGGGGAAGGGGGAGGGGGAGGGATGACTGTAGAGTCCTTAGGGCATTGCTGAGCTAATCTGTGCTGTGCTTGGAACACTTTGTCCTCTGGGCTCCTAACAATGTGAGGAGATGAATGTCCCGAGTTTTCAGACTGTAGCTGGTCTCAAGGATGGCCTCCCTAACAGCACCTGGTCCTATCAAAGCACAAAGCCTTCGGTTACAGTAAGTGTTTGGGGACAGTCAGATAAAGAGTTTGGAGGAAAAGACCTTTCAGAGTACCCTAATTCAGCATTTCTTGAAGTCAGTTCTTTTAAACACTATTGAGGTCCTACTGTCCAGTGATGTAGTGATATACTGTGTACCCTAATAAAATTTGCTTGAAGATCAGAGAGACAAAGGAACAAGCCACTGCCACATCTCACCTCCCCAATTCCACGAATCCTCTGACTGAACATCTGTGAGTTCTCAGCCAAAAGCCCTCCAGTCGAAAAGGGCTCCAGTTCCTGTCTCCTCACGTCTTATATACCTTTCTCTGCCCAGCCATTACTTCCTGTCTCAACCTCTCTAGTGCTGGGATTAAAGATGTGTGTGCTTCCCAAACAAAGGCATGAGATCTCAAGTGCTGAGATTAAAGGGGTGTTATTCCCAAGTACTGGGATTAAAGGTGTGTGCCTCACTGCCTGGTTCTGTTTCTCTCCAAGATGGAGTCAATCTCATGTAGTCCAGGGTGGCTTTGAACTCACAGAGATCCAGACGGATCTCTGCCTCCTGAGTGCTAGGATTAAAGCTGTTTGCCACTACTGCCTGGCATCTATGTTTAATCTAGTGGCTTGTTCTGCCCTCTGATTAGGAAAATTTTTTTTTTTTTTTTTTTGGTTTTTTTCGAGACAGGGTTTCTCTGTGTAGCTTTGCGCCTTTCCTGGAACTCACTTTGGAGACCAGGCTGGCCTCGAACTCACAGAGATCCGCCTGGCTCTGCCTCCCGAGTGCTGGGATTAAAGGCGTGCGCCACCACCGCCCGGCTGATTAGGAAAATTTTATTAGGGTACACAATATATCACATTTCTTTTTTGTCTAAAATAATAAATGAAGGTTGTAACTAACATAAGAAAAACTATATACAATAAATATATACAATATATACAGAATTACATTAATGGCTGGGCAGTGGTGGTGCATGCCTTTAATCCCAGCACTCAGGAGGCAGAGCCAGGCGGATCTCTGTGAGTTCGAGGCCAGCCTGTTCTACAGAGCAAGATCCAGGACAGGCTCCAAAGCTACAGAGAAACCCTGTCTCAGAAAAAAAAAAAAAAGAATTACATTAACAACATCTAGTCATTAACATTTGACAAATTCAGAGAAAATACTCCATTATTTATCCTATTTTGGTGAGTCCAAAATGTTGTTCCTAATTCACTTTCTATCCTAACTTGTGTTACCAACCAAAAACTATCTTTCGATGTCTTTTGAACTTACACACTTTACACTCTTTAGGGAGGTGAGCAGCCCACAAGCTTCTAGTCGGCTTCACCCCATTATGTGTCTCTCCTCGCTCAGAGGAAGGGCCCGTTAGTGATGTCTTTCCACATGGGTGGCCTTCAGGAAAAGGTGTACCAGCCGGTCACATGAGCTTGGAGCATTTTGAAGCCTCTGCAACTCATTTTTCTCATAGCTACATACATTAATCTCAAGAGCTCAGCTCGTAGGAGTCTGCCCCCAAAAGGCAGCTCTCAATGGGTGCTGAAGAGGCAGAGTTTTGAGACAGAGGTCTCAGTCCAGTTCCAGGCCCAAGGTCACGAGCCCCAGCAGGGCCAGCTCCAGGAAGCAGCACGCAGCCCATATCCCAACCCAGCAGACCATGTGAGGGTGGTTACAGGAGCCAGTCTTCTCTTCCTCCCCTGACAGTGCAGAGAATGCAGAGCTCTGGCTCCGAGGAAGAGGAAAACCCCTCCTGGGAATGAGTGTACCAGAAATGGGCTATCTGGGCCCTGGCGGGGAGCACACTCTCCTTACCCAGGCACGCACCGTTCCCACAGTCTTCTCCTGCGGGGTCCTGGCAGAGCTCCTCCTTGGCTTGTCTACTGGGACTCAGGGCTTCCTGTGACACATGCAGAAAGGACCTTAAATATCACTGACACTTTAAAAGGAGCTGGGAACCTGACCAGGCCTAAGAAAGATCAGGACACTTGAGCGATGCCATGTGTGGGGCCACCGTCACAGGCAGTGAGTGCCAGTAAGCCCAGGGGACAAAGGCTAACACCCCATGCCCTCTACCCCTCTGCTGGGGGAGCTCCTGAGGGGAGGGGCGTGGCAAGAGGATGACAGGAAAAGAAAGCAGCAGTTTACCTGGGACTGGGCTACCGCCTCCCAATCTCCAGTGCTCCCCATCTTTGGAACAGTTGGGGCTTGGAGTGTGAGGATAGCTGAAGAAGAGAGTAACCCTGTGAGACATAAGCTTCAGTTCTCTAAACCACTTCCAGCCAAAAGGGCACACTGGGGTCAAGCCAAGGGTGTCCCATGTCTGGTGCGCATTCCTCCCTTGACTTTCCCTTTAGATCTAGGACTCCCTAAGCTATCTTCAGTCGTATGCCATGTATGGGGTGCCTGTCCCCGTCCTGTGAGCAGCACACACCCCATGCCACACCTGCACCTTCTGTATAACTCCAGCTAGTGAGGTGTCTCCAGGCATCCTCCTTCACAGAGCCTTTTAACTTGACTGCTAAGTAACAGCATCCATCAGACTTTTGTCCTAGGGTGTACCTTGAATTCTGCACATCCTTCCTCCCACCTCCCAAGCCTGTCCCTCATTCTCTTGTGTCCCCATATCTGTGGTACTTACCACTCTCTTTCACAGGCTGAGGTGGCATCTTGGAAAGGTCGGGATGTATATTCAACTGTTTCTGGGGCTGTGTCTCAGGGCAGTGAGTCACTGGCTGCCGCTGGAAGCTCTGAAACTCTTGAACTGCTTCGAAGGACCCGGACTCTTCAGCACACAGCTCCAGTCCCTACACACGAAGTCAGAAAACTCCAATCATCAGTTCAATAAGGTTCCTTCAGTGAGACAGGAATGCTATTTGGTGTATGAATGTGTTCCGGGGGTTAACAGACTCTTAAGATCCAGAGAGGGTTTCAAACACAATGAGAAAGCCATCAGACTGACTTTAGTAAAGAATCAGAATACCAAATGAGTTCCGTCTCGTTGGATTCTGAGAGGCTGTACAAGTATTTCAAGCAGGTGATCACTATTCAAAGCGTTCTTGATTCACAGGGACAAATTACATAAAATTACATTTGGGGACATTAAAATATAATTTATAAGCCTTTCATAAGCCTGATTGCCTCTTTAGTTACAATCTACAGAAAAACTGCATGTCTACACTCAATGGCAATCCTCACTCTCCACCCAGCTCCTCCATCCATCATCATACTACAACAAAGATTCTAACCCTCCGGATCGGCACTGTCATGTGGTGATATACTGTGTACCCTAGTAAAACTTGCCTGAAGATCAGAGAACAGAACAAGCCACTAGATTAAACATAGATATCAGGCAGTGGTGGCACACACCTTTAATCCTAGCATTCGGGAGGCAGAGATCCAGCCGGATCTCTGTGAGTTCAAAGCCACCCTGGACTACATGAGATTGATTCAGTCTAGGAGAGAAACAAAGCCAGGCAGTGGTGGCACACACCTTTAATCCTAGTACTTGGGAGTCACATGCCTTTAATCCCAGCACTTGAGATCTCATGCCTTTGCTACCAGTATTTGGGAAGTGCACATGCCATTAATCCTAGCACTAGGAATGAAGTAACATGGCTGGGCGGAGAAAGGTATATAAGGTGTGAGGAGACAGCAACTAGAGCTCTCGGCTGAGGACTCAGAGACATTCAGTCAGAGGATTCGTGGAGTTGGCGAGCTGAGAAGTAGCTGTGGCTTGTTCCTTTGTCTCTCTGATCTTTCAGCATTTAACCCAGTATCTGGCTCCAGGTTTTTTATTATAAGACCATTTAGAGTTCGAGGAACACTGTCAACACAGAAAACAGGCAGATTTAAGTGACAGTGAAGACACATGGACACCCCTGAGGGCAGATCTCATGTTTTCAGTCCAGTAAGTAAGGAGCTCAGACATCACCACTCCATCTCAGCAAGAAACAAGCCGAACAAACGAACACATCAAAGCTCTTAGATCCAGCGGGGAAGTGAGGCCACACCACACATGCCCGTCCTCAGAGCTGGAGAAGTAAGAGGAGCTTCACCTGAGCAGAAACCTCTGCAGGGTCCAGTGCTGGGCAGGAAAGCCTTGTGCCACAGCCAACAAGCTGCTGAAGGCACAATGCAGTCCACCTCAGAGTCAAGCTCGGGGACCCAGGCGCGGAGACAGGGGCATGTGTGCTTTCATGAGTTTAACTTCGAAGATTTTTACCCTTCCTCACAGAGTAACACAGAAAAGTCCCTTCATGCTTCTGCAGGGGCAGAGGGAGGTGGGGACAGAGCCAATGTGAAACACACCAGGGTACTCTGTGAACAGTGCCTGCCTCAGGAGAAACCATTTTACAAGAGCATAACCTGCTCTACAAAAAGAAGCTGCCCGGCTCCAGTTCCTCACTGTTCTGCATGGGCAATGGGCAGCACATGCCTGAAGCCCTTTCTAGCAGTCCGGCCCATTCAACAGAGGAAGACACCTGAGAAATACTGATGAATGTCAGAATCCAGGGCACAGGCTAATCACAGAGCCATAGACTGCCCCTAGATATACTTGGCCACTATGTTATGGAAGACTTATTTACATAGTTCCTTCCACCCAAGACATCATATATCACCTTTTAACCAAAAATTATGAAGTATACTACAAGGCAAGCAATAGTTGGAAGAGAATAAGCATGAAAACTAGTGTCAGGTGGTAGAAAGCCAGGATTACCAAAGTATGAAACTTAAAAAATAGTAATCCAAGTGAAGAATTAATCACCTTAAATGTCAATGGTCTGAACACACTAACTAGCTGGCATGGTGACATTCATCTGCAATCCCAGCAGTTGAGAAGCTGAGACAGGAGGATTGTAAGTTTGGGGCCAGGCTGGGTTACACAGGAAGACCCTGTCTCAAAGATAAATAAATAAACAAACAAACCAAAAGGCCAAGATTATACAAAATAAGACCCAACTATATGCTGTACACAAGAAATCCACTTTAAATAAAGCAACACTTTATAGATAAAAAGTAAAGGAGGAAGGAGAAGACACCAATTTAACCCCAAGCAAAAGAAAGTGGGCTGGGGAGATGCCTCAGTGGTTAAAGTTCTTGACATACAAGCAGGGACCAGAGTCCAGGTCCCCAGAACCCATGTAAATGCAGGGTAATCATGGTGGCCTATCTGTAATTCCAGCTTCAGAGGGCAGAGACTAGAGATTCCAAGAGCAAACTGGCTAGCAAAATCAAACTGACTAGCTATATCAGTGGTCTCTGGGTCTGACTGAAAGAGTCTGCCTCAACAAATAAGGTAGAAGACTGATTAAAGATGATTCCTGGCATCAACCTCAAGCCTCCAAATGCACACACACGTATATGCACACCCGCACAAACATGTATGCACACCACACATATGCACATGAAAATGGAAAGGCAGGGAGAGAAAGTGAGAGAAGCTGTATTAATTTCAGAACAGCAGACTTCAGAGTAAGAGAAGTCACCAGGGATAAAGAGTGGCTTTATAAATGGTACAGGGTCAAAACTCTACAAAGGCACAATAATCCTCCATCCATGTAAGGATACGCACACCTTAATCCTCCATCCTTCTAGTAACACAGCCCAAAGCTGACAGGACCGTAGGAGAAAAGGGTGTCAGGAGACGTCAGCAGTGCTCCTGAACAGACAAAACCAAAGACAGTTGAACTGAAGAGGCTATGTGCTGTGGGATGGTCTGTATGTCAAATTGCTCTGATTGGTCAATAAATAAAACACTGATTGGCCAGTGGCTAGGCAGGAAGTATAGGCGGGGCTAACAGAGAGGAGAAAAGAAAGAACAGGAAGGCAGAAGGAGAGACTGCCAACCGCCACCCTGACAAGCAGCATGTGAAGATGCCGGTAAGCCACGAGCCATGTGGCAAGGTATAGATTTATGGAAATGGATTAATTTAAGCTATAAGAACAGTTAGCAAGAAGCCTGCCACGGCCATACAGTTTGTAAGCAATATAAGTCTCTGTGTCTACTTGGTTGGGTCTGAGCAGCTGTGGGACTGGCGGGTGTCAGAGATTTGTTCTGACTGTGGACCAGGCAGGAAAACTCCAGCTACAGCTATGTGTGGTGTTAGATTCATTAGTGGGGCAAAACAGGAGAGGTGAAACTGAATTCTGCAAGGCAGAGCTTCTAACAACAGGATATAAGATCCATCTTCAAGCTCCCAGGCACCATCCACTGCCAAGGTGGACCGCATTCCAGGACACAGAACACACTATGCAAATCTGAAAGGACAGAATCATGACATGCGTGCTCTCAGATCACATGGAAGTAAAACCAGAAATTGTAACAGAAAACAGCTGGAAAATCACAGCATACTTCGGGCTCAAACAATATACAAGCAAACATTTGAGTCGAAGAAGACATTTCAACAGAAATCTAAAAATGCAACTTAAAAAACAAAACAAAACAAAACAAAAGCCCACGGGACGCAGTGAGAGCAGAGGAGCTTTGAGGTGAATTCTCAGCACTGAATCAAGAACCTGGGGCAGGAGCGATGGCTCGGCGGCTGAGAACACCCGCTGCTCTTCCAGAGGACCAGGTCCAGCTCCCAGCACCAAGTTCACATGTGAAACAGCTGTGTCGTGTCCAGCAAAGACTCCTTCCCTGCAGCCGGCTACTCCCTGTACTGCTCACAAATTTCCTGTCTCCTGTTCTGTGGTGACCCCCGAGCTGTGGGGGAGAGTGTATGTATGGTATAGATGTCCCAGTTGAGAGCTGAGTACTCCAGTCTTTTAACCCTTCTCTTTCCATTATCCTTGGCCTCTCCAAACCACCTATATCCTAGCTCTTCCCTTAAAATCCTCCATGCCCTAGTTATCTCCATCTGTCAACCTGACACAGCCCAGAGCTATGAGGGAGTTCAGCTGGGGGAGTGCCTTGACTAGATGAGCCCATGCAGACAGGGCATTTCCCTTGCTAACTTCTGTGGAAGGGCCTAGCCCACTCTGGGCAGTGTCATCACTAGGTAGGTCAGCCTGGGCTGTCGAAAGCATGCTGAGCAAGCCAGAGAAGACAAGCAGGTAAACAGCTTTCCTCCATGGGTTCTGCTTTGGTTCCTGCTTGAGTTCCTGCTCTGACTTCCCTAGATGATGGATTGTGAGCTGAAGTGTAAGGCAATCAAACCCTTTCCTCCCCAATTGCTTTGGTCATGGTGTTCTGTCACAGTACCAGAAGGTTACTAATACCCCATGGCCCCTTACTAGTTTCCTGAGTTCTATGGGCACTCCAACTTAAACATGCACCTAAAGCATCCACATACAGGAGGGAACACGTGTCATTTGTCTTTCTGGGTCTGGGTTACAACGCCCAAAATTATTTCTGGCTCCATCCATTACTTGTGAATTCCATAATTCATTTTCCTTCACAGCTAAATAATATCTCACTATATATATGCACATTTTCATTATCCACTATTGTCAGAAGGATATCTAGGCTGTTTCCATTACCTGGTTATTGTGAATAACACAGAATGAACATGGGTGAGAAAGTATCTCTGTGGCCAAATATTGTGCTTTGGGAGCATGCTGAGGAGCGGTGGAGCATGATCACATGGTAGATCTATTTCCAGCATTGGGGGAAACCTCCACACTGATCTGCACAGTGGCTGCGCCAGTTTGCACTTCCACTAATAGTAAGTATTCCCCTTCCCCCATATCCACACCACCATTTGCTGTCAGCTGTTCCCTGTTGTTTTAATCTTAGCTATTCTGCCTGGGCTAAGATGAAATCTCAAAGTACTTCTAATTTTCATTTATTTGATAGCTAAAG